CGGTTGGCGCAGGATAGAGCAGGGTTTAGGGCTGTTGTGCATAGGGTCGCTATGAGTCGGAAACGACTCGACGGCACATAACAACAACAACAACAGGAATAACAACTTCACACGTACATCCACATACTCCAATTTCTAACACATTTATTTTATGTTTTCATTGTCTACATTTCAACATTATCAGTTTGAAAGCCCTAATAATAATTTCAAACAACTAAAATTAACTTCATTATTTTCATTAGACTCTATTTACAAAATGTAAGGAAAGGGTTAAGATCGCATTTTTCAAAAGGATTGAAAAGAAAAGCTTTTATGCTAAATCCCAATAAAACCAGGTTTCATGGAATTTAATATATATATGCAAATTAAACATACATATGCAAATAGACAGAGATATAACTAATTATAATGGCAATTTGAGCCACCTGGCTGATAATCTACTGACAATTTCCTGATTTTGTACAGACATACAAACTTTTGTTGTTGTGCACCATCAAGATGGAACCAACCCACAGCTGATCCTCTGGTGGGTTTTTTCAGAGGTAGTTAATCACAGGGGAGGAGATTGCCAGCCCTTTTCCCAGTGAGCAGCTGGTGGCCTTGACCTGTGTCCCTTTGGGATTGCAACACAGCTTCTTGCCATTAGGCCACCAGAGCTCCCCAGACATACAAACTTCTGAATTGGTTAGTGAATAGCTATTATGATCCAATGATGACCTAAAAATTCATTTAAATGGAATTTTACATAAATAAAATTTCAATAAATTTTATTATTCATGTAAGGCCCTGGGTGGTTCTAGCTTATCTCTGCTCCTCTTTCCTTAAGTGGGGAAGGCCCTTACTTAAAAACTAATCTTTGAGAACCCAGAAATGGACCCAGTTACCTATGGTCAACTGATGGCAAGGAAATAAAACCTATCAAATAGGGAAATGGCAACCTCTTCAACAAATGGTGCTGGCAAAACTGGACTGCTGCCTGCAGAAAGCTGAAACAGGATCCACATCTCACACTATACACAAAAATTCAACTCAAGGTGGATCAGAGACCTGGGGATTAAGCCCAAAACCCTATACAGTTTCTAAGAGAAAAATCTGGATTAAGTTTACAAGTAAATCCCCAAATCATAACGCTCATCAGAAACAAACTGAAATCAAGCTTAGAAAGCCTAGTCCACGGTATAAAGAGACTGCCAAATACAGCCAGAAATGCACAATCTGGAAAGGATAAAATTGACAAATGAGATATTCGAAAGATTAAATCCTTGTATGCATTAAAAACATTTTCCAACAGAGGGAAAAGAAAACTTACTAACTGAGGAAAAAACATTTGTCAATACTGTTTCAAACAAGGGTCTCATATCAAAGTTTACAGAATTCCACAGGGCCTCCACAAGAAAAAGACGGGTAACACAATTACAAAATGGGCAAAAGACATGGAAAGGATTTTCACAGAGGAAGATATGTGGATGGCAAACAGACACTTGAAGAAATGCTCAAAATCACTGGTAATGAGAGATACCAATCAAAACCACAATGAGGCACTGTCTCACTCCAGTAGCAGCAGCAAAGTTTAACAGGTCAGCAAGTAATAAATGTTGGAGAGGATTTGGAGAGACAGGAACTCTTAATACACTATTGGTAGGATTGGAAAATGGTACAGTTACACTGAAAAGCAGTTTAGTGTTTTCTCAAAAAGCTGAAATATAGAAATTCCATATGACCATTCCATATGATTCCACTGTTTGGAATATACCCTGAGAAAATTAATACTGAGGCACATATGGAGATTTGTATGCCATTGTTCATAGCAGCAGCATTCATCATGGTAAGAACATGGAAACAGCCCAAATGTCTAACCACGATCAAATGAATTGAGAAATTACGGTACATTCACATGATGGAATAATATGCAGCATGAAGGAGCAATGATTTTGAGAATCATGGCCTAATCTGGGAGGGACTAGAGAGCAGTATGCTAAATGAACTAACTCTGTCCCACATGGACAAATACGGTATAAAACCATTATCACAGAAATAGATAACTAGTAAAATGTGTATAGGGTACAAGGGGATTTGGGAGGGAAAGGGTGAGAATCGGGGTCTTGGTAATCATAAGGTCACACAATTTGATAGGTGGAGGGAGGGGTGGAAAATGGAAATGGGAAAGATCCTGTGTGAAAATAAGTTTATTTAAAAACAAAACCAAAAACTAATGGCCTTTCTTGTGAGCTGTGTTCACATTTGAGTGTGAGACCCTGTTACTGAAAAGCCCTAGTTCCAAGCTTCCCAATCTTGGAAAATGGGTCCTAGTAGTGGCTTTGAGTGTTTGGTCCATGACCTGCAACTTGCCTTTGTTATTCAATCAGCGAGCTTATTAGTCTGGAAT